CTAGACCTATGGTCTTAAGCAAGTCACTAACTTTGCTGAGTATTCATTTCTTCATCAGTTTAATTGGACATTATGATTTTCACTCAATATATTTGAGGATTCTGTGAGATGAAGTGTACAGAGCATCACTGATTGTGTCTGGCCCTGGAGACAGTTACCAACAAGTTAAATCTGCTTACTTTATAATTATCTGCTCAATAATGAGAGGAAATACCTGGCTACTCTTCCCAGACCACAATAAAATGGGTGTAATGAGTGGAAAGAGGGGTAGAAAATATTAGTTTTATGACTACTATGGAAATATCTATGTACCATACCAAGTTGATTCTGCAGGCCCAGAACTTTCTACAGTTTGGTGTGGACAGTCTCTATATCAGTGATTTTCAACTGGTGTGCCATGAGAAGATCTTAGATGTGCCTCGAAAAATTTTAAAGATCATTCATTAAATTATTCTTGAGGGTGGCGCCTGAGGCTCAATGAGTAGGGCGCTAGTTCCATAAACCGAGGGTGGTGGGTTCAAACATAGCCTTGGCCAAACTGCAACAAAAAAATAGCTGGGTGTTGTGGTGGGCACCTATAGTCAAAGCTACTGGGGAGGCTGAGGCAGGAGAATCCTCTAAGTCCAGGAGTTGGAGGTTGCTGTGAGCTGTGACGCCACAGCACTCTACTGAGGGTGACAAAATGAGACATGATCTGTAAAAAAAAAAAAAAATTATTCTTGAAAACATTCAAAGTACAGTAAGTATATTCCTTTTTTGATCAGCATAATTTAAGTGTGCCATGGAAATTTAACTAGGGGTTCAAGTGTGCCATGAGATAAAAATGGTGAAAAACACTGCTGCTGTCTACACTGGCCTGGACTCGAACCCAGAAAACACCATTAATCTTTGTTTCCTGCTGTGCCTCAAATGTACAGCACTGGACGTGGTGCCTTGATAGAAGAGTGTTAGTTGTTTGAATTGCTGGAAATCTGATCCCGTCATTTTCTGTCTTTGGAATACTGACTCCACCTGTGGCAGTGTAGGCAATGACTTCCTCTCCCACTTACCTGGGCTTTCTGCCTCTTACCTGCTCCCTTCTCTCCATTTTTTAAATATTTTCAATAGATGAAGCTGCTGACTCAGCTTCTCTTACCCACGGGCCTTCACCAGGGCAGTTGCTGCCTGCACTACTTGTTCTGAAATTTTCCCCCTAAGCCACCAGCAGTTCCCAGAACCCCACATTTGTTGGCTTTCCTCACACGGTTGCTGTAGGAACCTGTGTGTGCCCTGTTGGCGGTTGGGGCTCCTCGTTTCCTGAACCCAGTTGTCCTGGCAGTTGAAGCGAGGTTCGGCGGTAATCAAAGCAAAAGTGAGTGGAAATTGAAAATAAAACTGAGCGCACAGGCAGTGTGGAGAGAGAGCGAAGGACCTGCGGAGTTCCAGGGTAACAGACACCTGGGAATGTCTGGGAAGGATGTTTCAGGAAGAACAAAGAAAGTTTAGAGCACTTCCAGAAGCGGGTCCCTCTTGTGAAGGAGCGAAGGCGAGAGGGAGGCACACCGGGCAGTGCGGTGTCAGTGCCCCTTCCCCTCAGTTTGAAATCGGTCACCTTTCATTGGTCTCTCCGCACTGCCAGGCATTACTGCCCTTTTCTACTGGTTAAGTGGGGAAAGATTTTATGGGCCCTCCGGACTTCCTTGTCCCACTGACCAGGCTTCTCCCCCCCCCCCTTGAAGCCCCTCCCTGCTGTCCCTTCTCATGCCCGTCTGGGGACCCAGGGCTTATTTTGTCATCTCTCCCTCAGCTGACCTGGAAGTCAGAAAGCGGGTCTGGCAAATGTGTTCCAATTAAACATCTATCGTACGAATGGAGGACTCTTTCTTACTCTCAGAGGACCGACGGAGCTGTAGACACGACTCCCAGTGGGAAATCATCCTAGTCAGGTCAAGATGCACGCACTCGGCACAGGGTGAGCGCAGGGCTGCACCTGGGCCCCATTTCCACAGGCCGTGTCACACTCCCACCTGGCACACGGACGTTTGGTGACTAAAGGAGAGCCCCGCTGTGCATTAACAACCGTGTGCTGACCACTGTTACCCGAAGGTCCACCCAGGTCCAGGCCAGCCTTTCCTCTGGGGATCCAGCCTTCCCTGACATCAGTGTGGGTTCATTACATGGATGGCAAAGACTTTTACCACACTGAGGAGAAATGGAAACTGGTTCTAGAAATGTGTAAATCTAGGCAGAAACTGGAAAATTAAATCAGGGTGCCTGTTGGACTTTAGAAAGGAAAAACACGCAAGCACAGAGGTGATGTCAATTCATGTTTTTCTTTGATCTGAGTTCCACCAGCTTGTATGGATACCGAGGTGTACTCGGTACCCGAATCGATTTTGGAATCGGGAGGGTGAGCCCTGCATTTTGTCACTTACTAGATCCAGGTGAATTTCCCACTAGTGAAAGTCAAGGTGTTCCTGATGTCAAAGCGTTGCCTGCTCTGGAGATGTGTGTCCCCGCAAAGGCCACGGTGACTTGTCCATCCACCAAATGGTCCACAGAGGGCAAAAGGAATAAGCCAGACAGACTGTTGCCAGAGCAAAAATGCCTCAGGATTGCGTGCTGGCTCAAGGCCCCTCACCTACCTCAACAGAGCGCACAGTGGAACAGTAGTTGTTGTGGGACACTAGTCTCCATGGAGCAGCCTGAGAAAGATCACGTCAAAACTCATTACCAATTTTTATTTCCTACCATACACCAAATGTACAGCACTGAACACAATTTTGTTGCTTTGATGTAAGAAATATTAAGTGTTTGGAGAAACAGTATACAAACAAACTACTTCAAATTAAAAAATGCAAACATCATTGCCTTTTTTGCTGTTTACAAAAGACCGAATTTACAGTATTGATCATTAACATAGTTAAAAGAAAAAAATTCAGTGCACATTACAAAACACATCAAGTACAAAGGAGGCAAATAAATACAAACATACCTCACAAAGCACCCTGCTCAAACTATGCAAACACAAATAAATTAACCTCAGGCCATAGGAAATTATAGTAATAAATATGTACGTTGGTAAGAGATTTATTTTAAATTAAATACAATATATAACAAACTCGTTAAACTATTTAGCAAATTAAATGTTTGTTTTTGTAATAAGTGAACTCATTTGTATGCATCTATGAAGTACTGTATAGCAAAATGTTTGCAAATACATTACTTTAATAGAAATTTTGTTTGGTGTTCCATTTATAATAGACAGCACATATGGTAGCTCTTTTTTAAAAAAATTGATTTTTAAATAACACCGTTCCTACCTAAGAACAGACATTTCATTTTCACTAAGCTAAGAGTCAAGAGTTCAAATGAACCCCAAACCAAAGATAAGCCCCACTTTTAATGCATCACGACGACCACAGTCTCATGGGAGTGGAATTATTGTTGAGTCTTACTTTTCATTTGTACGGGTATCAGCAGTAACAGTGGAATGTACCAAGCCTATGAATGCCATCACATTCAATCTAAATATCCATGAGGCTAATAGAAAATAAACACTTTAGTTATAGCACAGAAAAGTAAGCCCACACTAAATTCATGTGTACATTTACACAGAGGCACGTCTGCACATGAAATGTGTGTGCACACCAAAAAGGCAGTTTAGCTGGTTGTCTATACCTTTTCCTTAAAAAAAATAAATATAAAAAAATTTTGAAACAATGCATAACTACTTTACAATCCCTGAAATAGACATTGCCTTTACTATAGCAACTCCTAAGCTCTGATCCATTTAGTAATTCAAGATTGTGGGCTCAATTTTAGGGGTGGTGAGTGTCTGTGTGCCTGTGTGGACAGGCGCATGTGTACTTTGCAGCACTTGTAGTTCTGTGGCAAGACTTTTGTCAAATTCAATGTTGTCTTGTTTCCTAAGGAGGGCGAGACCAATGTTGCCAGCGTTTGAAGTAACCGCTCAGATTGGAGTAGCATTTTTGCACGTGTTACTATATTTCCCATTTCTTTCCAGTCAACCCAGTAAGATACATGCTATTTCAGGGGATATGGTATCTACAGAATTTCCTATTTGGATGTGTTTGTGTTTGCTAAGTACAAATCTACACCAATATTGTCACTTGTATGTTGTACCAACATATGGCAGGAAAGCCTGGCTGGTCACACCAAGTCTTATTTCTCATCTTGGGATAAGAGTTGCCAACTATCTGATATGACTCGAAAAACAGACAAATCTGCATCTCCAAAAAAAGCTTATGTTTCTTTAAAACATTTCAAATAAATAATTCACATTAACTAAAACCGTACAGCCAAGTGGAATACTTTGCGGATTGCTGTATTTAATTATTGCTAACAAATTCTGAGCAGGCTGTTTTCCGGCATCCTGTGCTTTTGTGAGTGCGGATCCCCCACTAGTGGGCACCATTTACCTTCTTATTCCCGCACGCAGCTCACCTGACCTCGAACTCGTTTATAAATACAAAAACCAGCAACAAGGTGGGGGCAAGGGGGAGGAGGGAGAGAAATGTGCAATAACAACCAAACTGGACCATAGGGCAGTCCTCAGGTAAGGATTTCCTCCACAGTCTTTTTGTTTTCTATTTAAACCCAGCAAGAGAGGTGATTTGAGAATAGCATTTCTATCTTAAATCTTATTGGAAAATAAATTAATAAACACACTTGTAAAAATATGGCAGACTTCAAAATGCAGTTAAAAGATAAAAAACTCTTTGATTAGTAATAAATAAATTATAAAAATGTCACATTTATTTTACATATACTTTACAAAACAAGAGTGCAATGAAGAAATGAAAGAAAAACATATGAAAATAAATAAGATCTAATAATTAACTGCATGGATTTTAATCCGAAGAGTTTATCATAGTTTTTCTTTCCTTTTTATGTCAGCTGGGGAAAAAAAATTAGTGCAATGTTGCCGTTGTCAATGCAGCACGCAGCCTCCATGCCTTAGCAGGGCTCGAGCCTCTCACAGATCCATCTGGAGTTGACGGCTGTTGGTAATTTCTGTTGCCCGGCAGCGCTGTGATCCTACACATGGATGCCCTTCACTGCCTGTTTGATACTTTCCAGCAGAGCTTTGCATTCCGGGGAATAGTCCCGTTCCAGATTGCTGTACATGTCTGTGAGTGTATTTACATATGCTTCAAAATTCTGCTCACTGATAGGTCCCTAAACGGAGACAAAACACATTGACCCAATCACCGTGGTTCAGGCTGAGGCAAAAGGAGGGCCAAGTGACCTGAAGAATATGGGTGACCCTCAGCCTGGGAGGGAGGGCAGGGGTCCATATGGCTGCTGGAGTGTGTGTGTGTGTGGGGGGGGGAGATGGAGAGAGACTGTGTGTGGGGACTCATCCGTTCACTGGGAATCCGTGGGATATTTGGGGTTGATTTGCAGCCATAGAAAGGGTATGTCGGGCCGAGGAGCTGGGTACCTCGGAACTGCTCCACTTCTCCTGGGAGGCGGCCTCGGCCACCACTGCATATGCTCAGTGCAAAAGAGACCTGTTCCAGGAATGGAATGCTGGCCAGGCTGGGGAGGAAGGGTCGCTTGTACTGAGTGGTGCCTTTAACAGCCCTGGGCTGGAATTTAAGGAATTTAAGATATGGGTAAGTTGCTCATTAACTACGTGCAATGGGACATTTTTCTCCTTCCTTCTCAGACACCTGTGGCCTGGCTGCCCCTGCAGAGCCCTTGAATGCCCCTGTTTATTCCTCTGGTGCAGAATATCAGCTTCACAAAGTCAAGAAGTGTTCATGCCTGTTCTCTCCGTGTGTTTTGGTATCTCCTTTGCTTGATGAGATTCTTCAAAGAGCACACACTGGGTATGTGTCTATTCACGTGAAAGTAAAGGGGATGCATGTTGCAAAGGCCTTTTTTGGTGCTTCTGTTTTCCTATCTTTTTGGAAACACATGACTTGTGTCTTACTTCACAGCATACTTGGAAGAAAGGACCTTTAAAAGGTCTAAATACAGTTATTTTTGCTATTTGGAAAATAAGTTTTCTAAATTTGAAAACTATGCGGCTGTGCTCCACAGTCTAACGCTATTGTCTGTTCCCTTTACCGTCCGCCTTTGCAGGGCCACCCACAGGTTTCATGGAGACTCTTGTAATTGCACCAGGACCAAGTGGCAGAGGGATGCTTGACAGGGGTAAAGCCAGGCCCACCTGACTGGTGGTGGCTTTGGAACTTTGACCAAGTTCTACAAACTAGCTGTGCTTTCTCTCCTCCACTCCAGAAAGGAGATACCAATGCTCACTACTGGGTGCTCTCCTGAACATTTCAAGTGATCGGCCTTAAAAATCAGCACTACAGCGCCTGTGTGGTGACTATATGAGGGATGAGTTATCTTGTGTGGTACATATATATATAGAGAGAGACACTGTTGAAGAAAAAAATAATAGAGTACACATTGGAAGCTAAAAGACAAACTTTAACAAACAATACCATGATAATGTCCCAGGAGGGCCTTCATCCAGCCACAGTATAGCTTTCCTTAATGCAGGTTGTTATGTTACTGTGTAAGTCTCCTTTCTGCACGTTGTTATGTTACTGATTTCTTTTGTGTGTGGGGGGGGCAGGTTTGTAATTGGATAAGAGTTGCAAGCTAGGAAGTTGGGTAAATAGAGGGATTTGCTGTTTTTTGTCTTTTTGAGACAGAGTCTCACTATGTTACCCTAGGTAGAGTGCCATGGCATTATAGCTCACAGCAACCTCAAACTCTTGAGCTCAAGAGATTCTCTTGCCTCAGTCTCTCGAGTAGCTGGGACTACAGGGGGGCACCACAATGCCCAGCTATTTTTTGATGCAGTTGACATTGTCGTTTAGCTGACCGGGCCAGGTTCAAACCCGCCAGCCTCAGCGTATGTGACTCATGTCATAACCACTGTGCTACAGGTGCCGAGCCAGGATTTGCTGTTTTAAACAAAACAAATTGTATTTCTTTACTATATGCCATTTCTGTAAACCATTTTTATCAGATTGATAGCTTTGGAACAATTGCTCTAGAAATGTAGGCTCTGAGGAAAGTCAAAGCATTCAACAATGCAATGCTTCTTCCAGAGATTTTCCTGTATTTATGGATATGTAAAAGAAACTAATTTTGTAAGAATTCTAAATACAGTTATGTGCTGCAGAACGTTTCAATGACCAATCACCTACACACTGGTAGTCTATGAGATTGTAACAGCATATTTTTACTGTACCTTTTCTATATTTGGATAAGTTTAGATACACAAACACCGTTGGGCTCCACTGGCCTGCAGTGCTCAGGACAGTCACGTGCTGCACAGACGTGTGTCCTGGGAACAGCAGCCTGGGTGTGCAGTGGGCTCTGCCATCTGGGCATGTGGGGTGAGCCTGTGGTGTCTGCACAACGATAGGCAGCTAAGGGCACCCAGAACTTGCCCGGCTACTGAAGAGCACATAACTGGAGATGCACACCAGAAATACATGCTCAGATTTAAAAATAAGCATGTCTTGCTCACTTTTGCGCTTTTTAATTTACACAAGGAGTGGTAAAGTGTGTTCTTTATACATAGACATCAGGAAAGCACCACGTATTTTGGGAATTAAGCTTTTTTTTCCTTTTTACAGTGCTTGAATTGGGTGCATGATATGGATGATTGGGTCTCAGATTTTGTAAGCTGTGGTGGAATCTTCTACTTGGAAATATATTTTCAGTGAGGGAATTTTGGCCTCTAACTTTCATATTACATTGTAAAACAAGCTGGGGTTTTTTGAGATAGTTTCTCACTCTGTCACCCTGAGTAGAGTGCTGTAGTGTCATAGCTCACAGCAACTTCGAACTCTTGGGCTCAAGCCTCCCAAGTAGCTGGGACTACAGGTGCCCACCACGATGCCTGGCTAGTTTTTATATTTTTTAATAGAGATAGGGTCTCACTCTTGCTCAGACTGGTCTCAAACTCCTGAACTCAAGTGATCCACCTGCTTCCACCTCCCAGAGTGCTAGAATTACAAGCATGAGCCACTGAGCTTGTTCTATGAAACAAGCTTTAAATAAACCTTCATCTTTAAGAGGCTTAGCTTCTAAAAATTCCTTGGCCTCAACATAATTTAAATATACCATCATATCCTCAGTGAAGGAGAGTGCTGCGGGTTAGAAGGTGGTGAAACGTGACCATCCTGTGACTGCTGACAGCTCGTCTCAAAGCTAAATAGCTCAGAGTGGCAGCCTTGTGCATGATGTCACTGCCGTGTATGATGGCACTGTGCGGTGCAAGTGTCAACATGCACGGTAAACACTTGTAAAGGAATAGCCAAGTTCTGGCCTTGGACTTACCATCTGCGGAAGCTGGATGTCGGCAAGGCTTGAAATGAGAGCTTGGCTCAGCCCCGCCAGCTCCTTCAGGAGACTCTCATTGTTCTGCTCTATGAGCTTGTTCTCCTCTTCGATGGTCTTCAAGTTGCTCTCCATGGACGTGATCTAAAATGGAAATAACCTGGGAGTATGAGAGGTAGAATTTGGAAGGAGTACAAAAGCTTTCTCTCCGGAGGAAACACACCAGCTGAATCTAAATGCCAAGCGATGTGCTGTGATTTCAATTGCAGCCCATCCTATTGCTCCAATGTTGGCATCACATTCCCAAATGGATTTCTTCAGCCCAGATTTGCCATGAATTGCAGATTTGACTTGTCCCACGGCCACGGGATGGATTTCTCACACTTGGCCTGCCCCAGGCCAACTTGCACTGTTTTCCCCCAAGCCTGCTGTGTTCAGACAGCAGCCAGAACTGTGTGGAGATGTCCACATGTCTCTGTGCCCCCTTCTCTCTCACACCTCAGACCTGCTGGGCACCTGATTCAAATACCCAGAGTGGGACTACTCTGGCTCCCTGCACTCCTGCCACCTGCCGCCCCCGGCGTGTGACTGTGCCACCTTCCCTACAATCTCCAGCTTTCCTCAACATCTACCAGAATGCAAATATCTTAAAATGCAAATAAGAATGTGTCAGGCTCATGTTACCCCTCAGCTCCAAGACCCCCAAATCAAGGTCTTCAAAATGGCCCTGTGGTGTCCTGGGACTCTCCTGGGACCTGCCCCCAGCTCACCCACCTGGGGCCACACGCCTCTTTGCTAGTTCTCAAATTGCAGGACCTCGCCCTTGGGGCTTTGCTATTTGAAATGCTCCACGTTGAGCGCTTCCTTCTTCCTGGGACCTTTTTTTTTTTTTTTTTTTTTTTTTGAGACAGAGCCTCAAGCTGTCCCCCTGGGTAGAGTGCTATGGCATTACAGCTCACAGCAACCTCCAACTC